GGATGACAGAGATACACTACAAATGCAAGTACAATCCCTTAAAGAGTCTGTTGAGACCCACAACACATACCTCTCAATGCTACAAAGATCCCTCGACGACATTGATAACACGTTGGCGCAACAATCTCAGAGTGAGGGGCATCCCAGAAAATGATCAGGAATACCTCCAGCTTGTTCTAAGGGAGCTATTCAACTTGGTAATGAGCAAACGGTCTGACGCACCACTCCACTTTGACAGAGCACACTGCACTGAAGCCAAAGGGCCATCCAGTTTACATTTGCCGTCTTCATTACTTTGCATGCAAAAAGGGAAAACCTTGTGGTCCTCAGGTAGTTGACACAGCCTCTACTATTTCACAATGCTCCAATTAGTATCTACCCAGACTTATACTGCCAGATCCTGAGACCCATCACAGACCAACTCCGCTCTAGAAACCTGGGGTACCTATGGGGCTTTCCCCTGGCACTGAGTGTCTCCTACAAGGGCATCACTCACTGACATCCCACCATTCCTACAGGTCCTAAACTTACCAGAAATACACGTACCAGATTGGTACAGTCCACTACAAATGCCATCTATACCTCAGCTGCCACAACGTCCTCACTAACAACAAACTCCCAAGAAACGGAAAACTGAACTACCTGAACCCACTAAGCACTAAACCAGGGATAGACAACCTTCGGCACTGCAGATTTTTTGGACTTCACCTACTTTGCTGCTTTGCCAGCATTATGGGTGATGTAGTCCACAACATTTGGAGTGCTGAAGGTTGCCTACTCCTGAATTAAAGGAACACTATAGTCACCTAAACTACTTAAGCTAAATAAAGCAGTTTTAGTGTATAGATCATTCCCCTGCAATTTCACTGCTCAATTCACTGTCATTTAGGAGTTAAATCACTTTGTTTCTGTTTATGCAGCACTAGCCACACCTCCTCTGGCTATGATTGACAGAGCCTACATAAAAAAAAAAAAAAATTGGTTTCACTTTCAAACAGATGTAATTTACCTTAAATCATTGTATCTCAATCTCTAAATTGAACTTTAATCACATACAGGAGGCTCTTGCAGGGTCTTGCAAGCTATTAACATAGCAGGGGATAAGAAAATCTTAATTAAACAGAACTTGCAATAAAGAAAGCCTAAATAGGGCTCTCTTTACAGGAAGTGTTTATGGAAGGCTGTGCAAGTCACATGCAGGGAGGTGTGACTAGGGTTCATAAACAAAGGGATTTATCTCCTAAATGGCAGAGGATTGAGCAGTGAGACTGCAGGGGCATGTTCTATACACCAAAACTGCTTCATTAAGCTAAAGTTGTTCAGGTGACTACAGTGTCCCTTTAAACTACGTCCGTGATAGACTCTGCAAGAATGACCCACTTCCACGGCCCAAACCTCTCCTTCAAAGAGGACTTATTACTGGACTTTGCGTTGCACCCCTGGTAATGAACTGCCACACACAAAAATGTAGTTATTAACCCTATACTGAAAAAGGCAACACCACTTCTCAACAGAAGATACACAACCTGTTATGCCTACTGATAAATCAAGCTTTGGGTATCTATTCACCCTTCTCTTATCTCCCGACCCTGTAATTCACTGAGTGAGAGAGTTAGTTTATACTGAAGCCAGACTTCCAGGCAACTTGTGTGTGACTTCTCACACCTTGCAGAGTGACTCTGTTGGGGTCCCAGCTTCAAAGTGGAATTTGGGTTGTAAGCTCTAACCTCTCATGCATTTAAATTAGCCCCTTTTGAAAATGTATTTTTGGGGTGTTTATGATTATTGTATATTTGTCTGTAGAGGATCCTGGGAGAAAAAGCCTTGTATTATTGTATGGGAGAACCCATGTAGGGGTCTATGCATAAAAGCCGTGTGTGGCCAAAATAAAATCAGTTGACTCCCAGAACTATATGTCGTCTAGTTGCTGGGGGGGAAAGTGTCTTGGATTATTATACTGCTTCTTTCAGCTAAGAGGAAGGAATAGTGGAGATAGCTATGCTAGGTATTGGAGCTCCGCTACACTGTCCTGTGAAAATGCTGTATGGTCTTGCCCACCGTGCTGAAGCTCAGCTTCAGAGTCTTAGCAATTTCCTTATAGCCTAGGCCATCTTTATGTAGAGCAGGGGTTCCCAGGAGGGAGAGCCTGGGGAATAAGGAAGAGCAGGAGAGCATTGGGCAGAGAAAGGAGGGGCAGAGATGGGTTTGGGTGGAGGAGGAACTAGAAGAGCCCGGGGGAGAGGAAGTAGGAGCAGGGAAAGTCTGGGGCAGAGGTGAAGTATGGAGAGCATGGGACAGAGGAGGAGAATGTAGAGCCTGGGGCAGAGGAGGAGCATGGAGAGCCTAGGGCAGAGAAGGATCAGGGAGAGCGTGGGGGTATGAGGAAGTGAAGGGAGAAGCAGGGGAGCCTGGGGCAGAGAAGGGGTAGTGGAGCCTGTGCTGTATGAGGAGGAACAGGTTGAGCCTAGTGTATGAGGAGGAGCAGCAGGGGAGCCTTGGGCAGAGGAAGGAGGAGCAGAGATGGATTTGGGCAGAAGAGCAACCGGGAGAGCCTGGGGTAGAGGAAGTAGGAGCAGGGAAAGCCTGGGGCAGAGGTGAAGCATGGGGAGCATGTGGCAGAGGAGGTGCATGGAGAGCCTGGGGCAGAGGAAGGAGGAGCAGAGAGAGGTTTGGGCAGAGCAGGAACAGGGAGAGACTGGGGCAGAGGAAGTAGGAGCAGAGTCTGAGGCAGAGGAAGTGCAGGGAAAGCCTGGGACAGAGAAGGATCAGGGAGAGCCTGGGACAGATTAGGAGAGCCTAGGGCACAGAAAAATGGGAGATGTGGCAGAGAAAAATGTATACATTTGAAATAACAGCAACTATATTAATTACAAACATTTCACTAATATGAGGGGTACAATTTATGGAAATTGACTGCCATTGGGTACTCAAGTGAAAAAAGGTTGGAAACCACTGATGTAGAGCAACAATTCTTTTTTTTCAGATCCTCAGAGAGTTCTTTGCCATGAGGTGCCATGTTGAACTTCCAGTGACCAGTATGAGAGAGAGATAATATCAAATTTAACACACCTTGTAACACTAACGAGTCACATGGCACCGGGAAGGGAAAATGGCTGATTGGGCCCAATTTGGACATTTCCACTTAGGGGTGTACTCACTTTTGTTGCCAACGGTTTAGACATTAATGGCTGTGTGTGGAGTTATTTTGAGGGGACAGCAAATTTACACTGTTATACAGGCTGCACACTTACTACTTTACATTGTAGCAGAGTGTTATTTCTTCAGTGTTGTCACATGAAAAGATATAATAAAATATTTACAAAAATGTAAGGGGTGTACTCAAACAGCTAAACTGCCTTTCACTGCCAATAAACATCCCAGAATCTCCTATTCAGTCCTAACTAGAAACAAATGCCTGGGCGGCTTGGGACTTCCTCACCTAAAAATGTACTACAAGGCAATGATGTTAACCAGAATCTATGAATGGAACGCAATGCCCCACCCCAAACAATAGACATTCCTGGAAAGTACCATGTTACATGTTCCACTACTAGGCATGTCCATGGGGAAAATTTTCGGTTCGGTTCAGCATTCCAAAATTCGGGATATTCCCAATTCGGCACTTCGACATTTCGGAAATTCGTCAACTTCGGAACTTCGGGACTTCGGCACCTCGGGACTTCTATTTCAGCCACTTAGTAGATAACTCCCTAATTCCCACGGTATTAGGGAGTTATCTACCAAAAGGCTGAAAGACCTAAATTAGTCTTTCAGCCAAATTTACTAATAAAGTAAAAAAAAAATTTAAAGTAAAAAAAAAGGGTGGGGGTTGGGGGGGAGGACAATAGGTCCCCCCCTTATTAGTATTTAGGGCCCCCACCCACCGCTCAGGGGTGGGGGCCAGGGGGGAGGACCTTAGGTCCCCCCCTTTATTAGTATTTAGGGCCCCCACCTGCCGCTCAGGGGTGGGGGCCAGGGGGAGGACATTAAGTCCCCCCCCTTATTCTAATTTAGGGCCCCCATCCATCGCTCAGGGGTGGGGGCCAGGGGGGAGGACATTAGGTCCCCCCCTTATTCTTGTCTAGGCCCCCCCACCCACCGCTCAGGGGTGGGGGCCAAGGGGTGGACATTAGGTCCCCTCTCTTATTCTTGTTTAGGGCCCCCACCCACCACTCAGGGGTGGGGGCCAGGGGAGAGGACATTAGGTCCCCCCCTTATTAGCATTTAGGGCCCCCACCCGCCGCTCAGGGGTGGGGCCAGGGGGAGGACCTTAAGGTCCCCCCCTTATTCCAATTTAGGGGCCCCACCCGCAGTTTAGGGGTGGGGGCCAGGAGGGAGGACAATAGGTCCCCCCCATCATTTTACTTTATGGCCCCCACCCACCGCTCAGGGGTGAGGGCCGGGGGGGCAATTAGTTTAAAAGCCCCCACTCTCACGTCGTGGGTGGGGGCTCGGGAGGGCCACAGGCTGCTCACTGTTTAATAGACATGCCCCTACTCGCGGTATAGCGAGTAGGGGCAAAATTTTCTAATACTAAGTAATTTTTACTTAGTATTAGTAAATTTGGCTGAAAGACCAATTTAGGTCTTTCAGCCTTTTGGTAGATAACTCCCTAATACCATGGGAATTAGGGAGTTATCTACTAAGCGGCTGCAATAGAAGTCCCAAGGTGCCGAAGTCCCGAAATGCCGAAGTTCCGAAATTCCGAAGTGCCAAAGTTGCGGAATTTCCAAAGTGTTGAAGTTCTGAAGTTGCCAAAGTTCCGAAGTTGCCAAAGTTCCGAAGTCTTGAAGTGCTGAATTGCCAAAGTCCCGAATTGCGAAAATCCAGAATTTCGGAATGCCGAACCGAACCAAAAATTTTCCCCAATGCACATGCCTACTAATTATGATTTCATAATAGTGGAAATCTGACCAACCTTTATCCAATATATTTCTGTTTAAGTAAAAATTAATTAATTTAAATTCAATTCAATTACATTACATTAAATAAAACCAGCATAATTACCAGCTTCATGGTAGAATTTCTTTCAGGCTTGGAGAGATGTATTCCATAAAGTGGTGAATGCAAGTAGGAGTATAGAGAATTGTGGGAAATAGGAAAGTTTTCAGATTTCTGATTGTTAAGAATTTCAAAGTTGGAAAAGATACAGAAATTAGGGGTGTCCAGTTTTTCTGCTCCGATCTCAGCCCCCAGACCTCTCCTCTCTGTCTGCCCTTAATCTTCCTTTACGTCACTAGTTTAAGTGTCCAATAGAGTAAGACGGGCGTTTCTTCCCTACAGGCTGTCATCTAGATTTTGGTCAATAGATGGCGTAATAACACCACAAGAAATTATTTTCAGGAATTTCAATTACCACTTTGTATGACCGGTTAACTGAAATTCGTGATGCATTTTACATCATTTTGGCTATCTTTATGGATAACCGTCCATCAAAACCTGCCAGTCTTCAAAGGCTTTTCTTTCATTTTACCAGACTTACCATCTGTTTTTTAAGTCATAAACTTAGAATTTGACACATCTGCCCTTTCTTTTACCTTCTCTAATACAATGAAACTTTGTATCAGATCCTTAATATTTAAAAAGTAAAATTAATTACTTTTAGTGTTATCTATTTTTGTGTAATCCTGTTTCTGGTTTCTGTGTGAAACTGTCTGTAGCACTTAGTAATGTGACACGTGATATATACATGTCCTTTACACACATTCAGCTAATGTTAGTTTAATAATATGATATTTCTTCATTGATATTCTATCCATGAATATTCAATTATTATTAACATAGGTACTATTTATATATGATTAAACATAATTATAGTTAGTTTATATGGATATATGTATATAAATAGATAGATGGCTTGGCACTCACCTTTCTTTGTACTATACAGATAAGGATTCTTGCCCTGGTGCAATCCCACGTATATAAAACACAATAAGAAAGGATGAGCTCTGCGGTCTTCAATGTATAAACACGTATTTAATCCATACAGAAATTTACATGTAGGTTTCGACCAGTTCGGGTCTCAAGATAAATGTATCTAATATATATACTGTATGTGTTTCTGGGCTGTTGCTTTTACTTTTCCACCCCCTTCTTGTAGAGAGTCCTAACTCTGGCCAGTGTTTACGTTAGATGTATTTCTTTGCTTGAATGAATAGAGTTATAGAGAAGTAAAAAAAAAGTGTCTGTCTTTTTGTATTCTGTTTCAAAATGGAGTCACCTCTGTTTTAATGGTGACTGACAGTATACATTTTTAATTTCTATCTTAACACAAAATGTCTGCCAGTGGAAATACACTGACAGTGACCAGAACATTATGTTATGCCTTTGAGAGCACTGGTAAAGCCAAGCCAGTCCTCCAGGTTATATTGAAACCATAACATTTGTTGATACCTCTCACCATTTGCATTTGGAATTTCAATTGGGACCTGCATTGTGAAATAGGGAAATCCTGTCCGCTCTAGCTAAGTTTTAGCTACCACTATTTTAGAGGCGATCAAACACGGAGTGATTAATACTAGCTCTTTTTTTACTAAATTTAGACCAACCTAGATGTGGCGTGGATCAAATCAAGTGTTTGATAATTTTGTATATCTGCCCCTGTCCAAATTAATAAGTATTTGCGTGCACGCTCCCGAAGTAATTCACACCAGACACAAGTTTCAGGTTAAAGAAAGACTCGAGGAATCTTTATTCCGGGGGTCCAGTATGCCCCTTATAAAGCAGAACTACATATGCATAATTATAGATAACAGAGTAAAGTACATCAATAATTGGTTAGGTGTTAAGTGGTTCATCAATTGCTCATCCTACCGGGTGTGATGTCACTGGCATCATGGAGCTCTCCTACAGATTCCAGCGCCATCTTGTTAATTCGAGGGTGTTAGTTGACGACGGGGAAAACTCCCTAGCGGGCTTTTTAAGTAACTTATGAATAATATTGATTATAGTTATGCAGAGTAGCTAGGCATTTTACTAAAATTAATAGAGTTAATATTCTGTCCACAACAGATGTAACAACATTACTTACGGTTTTCTTGAGAGTTTAACCGTGCATAGACGGAATATATTATTTTGTACCCAGAGCAATAAAGGAGCCACTTTTTTTGCAGAACCACCAAATATGTAAATAACTTCCTCTCTCCACACCACAACCCCAGCAGTTTTCACTATTACTGTGTTAATCAATGCAAAACGAGTTACCAAAGAAAGGATATTTGTTTATCATTCATTGTCATCGTCAAGAAAAATGTTCAGATCTTTAACCCATGTTCTTAATTGCTGAGGGAGTAATTGTTTTCTTTATCAATTCAATTAACCTTACACAGCCAGAGAAAATTTGTTTAAATCTATATATTGTTTTCATAATATTTCAAAAGATTTAATCCTATTCTCTGATATCAAGTTTTTTATAGAATTAATATTCATAAGTCTCCAACAGTTTAAAGAGATGGTGTTCATTTCCATTTCTATAACCTCTAATTTTTGGGAAATCAAAAATGTAATAGTTGAGTCTTAAATTCTAATAATTTGATTTAGAATATAAGTATTTCACATTAAACCAGAATGCTCTTTGATATGACGAGTACAATTCTATACTGTACCAAACCTCCAACTTTCATTGATCTTTTTGCAATAAACTTGTCATAATACTTGTCTATGTCAGTACAATCCTTGGCTACCTTTTTTTAATATTGTTAGACAGCATAGAATTTCTAAACCTCCCCCTTCTCTCCATACAAAGTTTGAAAAGCAGATTTAATCAAAGCTAACAATGAGGTAGGTATTGCTTATGGTAACATTCTAGACAAATAAATCCATTTAGGTAATACATAAGATTTTTAAAATTTTCACTCTGCTATATCAACGTACTTCCGATTGAGGCCATTAAGATTCCTATTTTTTTCATTAATCAACTCAAATTTATACAAATCATAATCCCTAGTTAGTTAAACATCTTAAAATGAAGGAAACCATATTCACATTGAAAATTAATTACATAATTTTGTTCAAAAGTAATATACAAAACAATTGACTTTGAC